CTACATGCCCAGCCCATCTCATTCTTCTCGACTTAATCACCCTGACAACACTGGGGGAGCAGTACAGATTTTTAAGCTCGTCATTATGCAGTTTTCTCCACGCCCCATCGTCTATCGGATGTAATTAATACTTGGAATATTCGAAGTTTGTTCGTTGTTATTGAAATCTGTAAACAAAAACAAACACGTTTTTGCCCCCTTGAGATCTACCCCAGTTTTCACACGAACATCAAGATTCACTCTCGTCTTCCCTCTAGGATGAAGGTAATGACGTCCCTTCGTTAACGGCGTCACAACCCAGAGGACCAACCTCATTCTACAGATCTTTAACACTTTGTAATTACAGTCTCGTGGTCATCAGATCAACTTACAAAGGGAGTGTTCGGTGGTTTTCCTCGGCCCCGTAAGTCACTTTCGAAGACAGAATCTTGCGTTATATAAACGTCTCTGCGTTCAGAAGACATGAATTATGTTAGTTTAAAAAACGTTTATACGTAAAACACTACACATTAGAAGTAGAATTTATATAATTTAATATTAGTATTTTAAACGCCAAGTTTGATATGGACCAAAGTGTTACCAGTGCTTTTAAGTGAAGTAAACAGCTTTCAACACAGTGGTAACTATGTGTACCACCTACATAAAACACCAGAAACTAAACACAGGTTTTATGTTGTCTTACGTTTTGAAAACAAGAAGAAATTACTTGAACAAACTTTTTTTCCTAAGAACTAGTATCATTCATCATTTCACGAGTTAAATTTCTTTCTAATTAGCGTTTGTGTAGATGTCACTAAAAAAATTTCTGCTGTTAAAACCTTTTTGTGAAATTTAGAGCCAAGAGTTTCGAGTGTCCTCCGATGACTGAACTTTTATATTAGATTTCTTTAAAGCCTTTCCAGCATTTAACCAGTAAAACGCCTTGTCACATCCCTGAACTCAATACTTTTTAAAACTGTCTGCAAATTTCACATATTTCTATGTTTTCCGATAAAAGTCTACCGATGTATTTTACTGAAATTTGTTATGAACGACTTGTTATTAAATTTAAATTAAATTATTTGGTTATTCCGTCAAATCACAATGTATTTAAAATAAGATAATTAAAATAATTAAAATATCATTCTGTGTTCCATATCGAATAATCGATTTACAATTGGAACAGTTACAACATGTTTCGGTTTTATTAAACCATCATCAGGTGTAAAATTATATTAAATTTAAAACTCAATTACAATTTTGACGGAATAACCAAATAATTTAATTTTAATTTAACAAGTCACAATATGACGCAACTACACTATATTATGAATAGAATTGGTATTAGTTTACCTGACGTTGGCAGTAAAAACATGGCGGCCGTGCGATATTTTTTAGCGAACTTAGAGACACCAGCCCTACTTAATCTGGAACCTTAAGATTTCGTGCGGTAATGTCTCTTAAAAAATATTAATTTTTGTACTGACAATTATTCTTATTTTTTTATTGTTTTATTACTTAAAGTATTTTAAAGCATTTGTACGAAGTTCGTATGAATATTTATTTACAGATTAAACTTTGGACCGAAAACAGGCTTCGTAAATTGTTTCCAGAATTTCTTGTAATGTTTAAGGTTTAACACCTGAGTTCATTTTTGCCCTTAACTGACGTTTTAAGCGTTAGAAACTCTGATAGACGAACAACTCGCAAGAGTACTTAGTTATGTGTTAAGCGATTTTCAATACAACCTCCATTACTTGAAGACATAGAGACAACCAGCGCTCCTGCTGTCATGGAAGTGAATTAATGTGGACACAAGACAAAGACTTGACAAGAACTGAAACTCTGCTTAACTTTCCTTTGTTATAACTCCGTTGTGTTTCTTCAGCTATTAAAGTTCATACTCCAAATGTGAATTACGCAAGAATAGATAATATTCGCTCTTGACGTAAAATAGAATTATAAGTGACTGACGGAATATGCACCTTTGAATATCAGTTGATGTGCCCTGGTGTGCATTTATATAAGTTGTCAACGTTAAATAAACGTGGATTTCGTTATTATTCTTACCACAGAGTGAAATAGTGGGGGACATGTTTATGTACTGAAGATAAAAGAAGCAGGATCATCAGAAATATATGGTTAAAATTGCAGTGAAATAGAAGTTTTTGTGAATATAATTTATGAAACTTGTAACGATCACATTTGTTTTACCAACTTTTTAATGCTTTTGAGTTTGTGTAATATTCATAAATTTTATGAAGATGGTCGTACAGATAATTCATTTCTTTATTTTGTGGTGAATTATCGACCTTGTGCTGAAGGAACCTTCTCGATAATTCTTATCGTAATTCTGAGGAATTTATTGACGTGTTCCAACGGCGGACATGAAGCCAGAGTGGGAAAGAACGTTTTTAAATGAGTTTCTACCATAAAACAAAAGAAAGACGGTCGAAATGAAGCGTGGAGTCGCCCTTGTCGTGTTGCTAAGCGAACTGAGCGCGTGTTGCTACATCTTCCCCGCAGAGATGGCGGACCCATGCCGCGACAAGAAGTGCCCGTTCGGGGCGCGGTGTGTCGCCTCTATCGACGGTCGCAGTGCCACCTGTGAGTGTCCCACGCGATGCCCGGCCTACGGAGACCACGCTGGATCACGGCCAGTGTGTGGAAGTGACGGCGTCGATTACAAGGACCAGTGCGAGCTGAGGCGCGCGGCCTGTGACGCGAATCGGGAGGTCACAGTCAGGTTCCACGGCAAATGTGGTGAGTAGCCATTTTTATTCATCTGCTCGTCTCCTTTGTAGCGCGGCCCATAGCGTCTCTCTGTTTCAGGAGACTCCTTTACATGAAAAATTTTCATAAGGTGAAAATTCGTAAATCGAAAATAGTAAGAAAATTCTGATTGGTTCCCGTCTCCAAAAAAAAAAATTGCGTGGTATTGTTCCCAGATAAGTTACAATATTAAACAGTCATAAATAGAAGAACAGCGTTACGTTTTATAACAGTTATTACTAATTTTATTTTGTAAAGCACCACTCAATACGAGTTTTTTTCAAACATTTAAATTGTACAGCAGTTAACTGCTGTTACAGAATAAAAATCAGTACTTACATAAGCAAATGAATAGTTGACTTTAATGTTAATTACTGTACGTATCAAATTAATAGAGAATCATGAAAAGAAATTAATTGGTTCTTCGTTGCAGCGAAAATAATTTTCGTAAATTAAAAAATTTAAAAAGACTTGTAGCGAACCTCAACAGGGCAGTCCGTCGCCAGTTCCATATCTGAAACCAGGACCTCAGGAATGCATTCGACGGGCTGGAAGGGCGAACGCCAAAATTGCGAGCAGCTGAGTGGGGCAAATAAACTAATGTAACATGAAGTAATATAATGTTAATTGGCAGAATAATTAGATGGTATGCTGCGGTTCGCTACGTCGGACATTGACCACTGAGGAGGCTCGGATCAGAGACGGGGCACCGCTTCGAGCAGAACTGCAAACAACGTCACGAGGCGTTCGCTAAAGGATCGGCACAAGACGACATAAAAGTTTTCACAAAAAGGCGAACAAAAGGAAAGGTCATTAATGGACTGGAAGAAGGGCGTAAGTCAGAGAAAAACGTTCCGACGTCGAACGACGGTATAACATTTTTTTTTTTAGTGTTCTGTCTGACGACAGGTCCATATGAACAGGGTCCTTCCATCCTTTTCTCGGACTGGGTCCTGTTCATATACGTTCTTGGCAGATGATCCAGCAGTGGTTTGCCATTGCCTTCTTCTGTGTGTGAATGGAGTAATTGTTGGGATGCCACGGAGAAACCGGGGAAGCCCCCGTAGGAAAACTCCGTGTTGCCTAGACCACGGCCTTGCCCAACACAAGTTATAAATTCGGGCACCGCCGGGAATCGAACCCGAGACCCCAGGATTACAAGGCCAGCTTCGTGTCGTCTTTTTAAAGTTTGATTTGAACTTTCTGTAAAGTTAGGGATAATATTAGTTTTGTATTCACGACTTTCACTTTAGTCCGCAATAACCAACTTCGCTGAAATCTGTTCAGTCGCGTGAGACGCAGACAGACATAAATACTCGGAAATCAAATGTTGCGTGTAGCACGACCCTGTTAAAATGGAAATAAACTTTCAAACACATTACTGAGCTTTTTCGAAAATTTTAAGTTTCGAAAACTTTCACTGTTGCGCTGAGGGAGAATTTGAAATGGAAGCGGGCAGACGGTTAATTCGCTAATGTGAATTTTTCGCTGACGAACTCGTTGGCTGTTTCGACTTGGCAGCCATTTTCATGTCAGGACTCGTTAAATGAGAGATTAATCTGAAAATACTGACGCAATGAAAGGTATTAGCGAACTCAATAAAATACAATTCACGTCAGTTTCATCCATTTAGAGAAGTGACGCTTTCGTATAGACGGTTGCTTATTACAAATGGATGAATAAATTTCACAGAAATATTCTCAAATTCAATCAGAAAATTATCAGAACGGCTGACAATTCAGAGATGGAATATTTACAGTTTTGTGGGCCCCTATCAGTAACTAAAAATTTAGGTTGTAAACCAATTCACGTGACCGTTTCCGGAGATGATTGCACTCAAAAAAAATTGGATTCTGTGGAGGCCCCGGTCGTGTATATTTTAAGTTCGATCCCCGACGGGGGCAGAGGATTTTTCCTCTGGCCTCTGCACCCAGCCTCCTGTCCAACGGTACCAGGGTCATTTCCCGGGGGTTAAACGCTGCCCCCATCTAGTGCCAAGGTAGAGAATGAGTAGGAGCTATATCACCTCTCCCCCAAAGCGCCTACATGGCGTATAGTGGGACAGCTTTGCTTTATTATAATATGCTGCAAGCAAAATATCTACGGAAAATAAAGTCACAGCCAGACACTGGGCCAAAACGTTGTCTTTGAAAATATTCTGTGAGTTTGAAGAACGAATGTAAATTGAAACTGATGGACTTTATTCGCAGTAATGAAGTAAAGTGGACATTAAAATAGAATAATATGTGTTCGATTCCCGGCGGTGCCCGAATTTATAACTTGTGTTGGGCAAGGCCGTGGTCTGGGCAACACGGAGTTTTCCTCCGTGGCATCCCAACAATTACTCCATTCACACACAGAAGAAGGCAATGGCAAACCACTTCTGGATCATCTGCCAAGAACGTATATGAACAGGTCCCAGTCCGAGAAAAGGATGGAAGGATCCTGTTCATATGGACCTGTCGTCACACAGAACACTAAATAAATATAAATAAATATGTGAATAATATAAATACAAATTGAAAAGGTAATAATGAATTGTACAATTATTATGTAGGTCTCGGAGGCCACTTCCTGTCTGATTCCTTCCCCTTTCCTCGCCGAGGACAGACGTCATTTGCCTGCTTGAACTTCACATTTTCTCGCTGACTTTGGCCCTGGGCTGAACTTCCTCAAGAGTTTATAGGGAGTAATTACGTCAGGGGAAGTGTCAGAAAATATTACAATTTGTTGCCAAGTTATAATGACGCCATTTTAACAGCAGTCTGAAGCATTATAGGAGAGTTCCAATGAGGTGTGTGGTCATTTAGAAACATAAGGACCTTCCCTGAAGGCTTGCGGTTGAGAAAATGCCACTTGATGGAGAATTCGGTACTAATACAAGACGATTTCGGGGTTTTCTCGGTCCACTCCCTTGCATCTGGGCTCACTAAATTCCTTCACCTGGATTCCTCCGCGGGAAAGATTTAAACCGGTCGTACCCAGCGATTTCAGTTTCATCATTGAAAAATCATTACAAATTCCCATTTATTTAGCAAATGTGCACGAAATTGCACTATAGATGGTCTGTCTATGGGCAAAACCTGCAGCTGAGAGTGCCTGAAAATGAACACTTTTTCTCATTAATTTTTTCTCGAATAATCCTCTGAAAAATTGGAAAACAAGAATATTCTTTTATATTCCATCATTCTTATTCTGAAATTGGAGTTTCTCGTTCACTTATTTTAACTAACTAACTAACTAACTAGATGGCTTACCGAACCCGAAGGTTCATCACCGAATTAACCAAAGCCCTCCACCGGACCCTGTCCTGGGCCAACAAAATCCAGTCTCCTCCAACTCCTATCTCCCATAGATCCCGCCTCAGATTATCCTCCCATCTACGTCTAGGTCTCCCCAGAGGTCTCTTCCCCTCAGGCTTCCCAAATAGTGGACCCAACCAACCAGATGGCTTACGGAACCCGAAGGTTCATCACCGAATTAACCAAAGCCCTCCACCGGACCCTGTCCTGAGCCAACAAAATCCAGTCTCCTTCAACTCCTATCTCCCATAGATACCGCCTGAGATTGTCCTCCCATCTACGTCTAGGTCTCTCCAGAGGTCTCTTCCCCTCAGGCTTCCCAAATAGTGGACCCAACCAACCAGATGGCTTACCGAACCCGAAGGTTCATCACCGAATTAACCAAAGCCCTCCACCGGACCCTGTCATGAGCCAACAAAATCCAGTCTCCTTCAACTCCTATCTCCCATAGAATTTATAAGAATGTTGGCAGCTTTGTCAGTTGGCAAAATGTTTTGGGAGGAATTTACTTAAGTACTTTGCTGGAAGAGAGAATGTACAAATTTGTCAATTAATGTCATAATTTCAAATATGTACTCATTTAAATTTTAGTGCTGGATCTGTGAATTCACACAATACACATATAGTTTTTCATATACTTCGTAAGATGTAAATCAGTAAATTGCATGGCGTATAGTGGGACAGCTTTACTCACATCCATAAGAAACATTTCAGAGAGCAGTCTGTCAAGAAATTACATTTTAGGAGGGTTCATAGGAACTTGTCAATATTCCCTAATGTCAGCCAAATTATTTAAAGTTTAAATGCGTCATGTTTGTGTTTTATAATTAAAATATATAATATACTTCAGGTCTATACACAAACTTTATTTACAGATGTTAAAATTTAAAATTTAAAATTTGCGCTATTCATCGTTACTACGATGTTACAATACTGCGCCTTCATTTACTACATGTTTCGATGCGTGGCATCATCTTCAGGTTTTTCCTTTTTAAAACTACTTTATATTACAATGCAAGTTTTTCAATTTATTCATCTGTTTTGTAAATTTTTATAGTATGTGTTCTGTTGATCTTCTTATTTTATGTATCTTATGTTTGTTTTCCATTATTCTGTGAATAAATTAATTAACATATGAGTTATTTATTTATATGTAAATAAATTTGGAATATTGTTGTATATTTGTAAAAGTAAGAACACAATAACATACCATGAATCGTGATGTACAGTGTATCTTCGTCTGAAAAACCTGAAGATGATGCTACCCATCGAAACATGTAGTAAATAAAGGCGCAGCATTGTAACATCGTTGTAACGATGAATAGCGCAAATTTTAAATTTTAAATTTTAACATCTGTAAATAAGTTTGTGTATAGACCTGAATTATATTATATATTTTAATTTTACTTATTTTAACATCGTTCAAAAACCTGAACCCTCTCTTCTACACCTTCATCTACTTTTCTGCAAATATTAAATAAAGGAAATGCTGTATCTGATTATTTGAAAAGTAAAATAAATTACTTGCAGGTCCAAGTCGACTTTGTTTAAATATCCTGATTACAGTCTTCTTTTTTTAAAAGGCTTTCTTGCTGAGATTCCACCACGGCGTTCTGACTCACTAAACGATATTTCATTTTTTATTTTTACATCCGAACTTCCTGTCTGAAGTTTCCCCCCACCCCCGAA